AAGGGGGCGTGATTTTCTCCACCAAAATCCTGTTGAGCGCAGGAACCAAATGGGAAAAGAAAAAGTTGTTGAAAGAACAATAATCTATAAAGAATAGAAGAATGATGCAGGATTAGCCCCCCTTTAGCAAGCAACTGCATTCTAACTGAGAAAATGCGAAAGATACTGAGATTCCAACTTACTTTCTAATTCTTCACTCAGCTTGCGCCTTCGATGTATTGAAACACCATGCTCGCTTGAGACTCGCAGGAAATCGAGCAATTAGCCGGCAAAATATTAGAACAAAAGTCGAGAGAAATGCTAAGAACAAAATAGCGGGAGATCGGTGAATGAGAAAAACTAACTTATTTAAGCCTAGGCCGTTTTGCTATAACGCGAGCTGGAAAGAAGAACGAAGAGACTTTCGTGACCGCTAACCAATACAAAAATCTTGGCAGAAATTGATGCAGATGATGGCAGAGGACGCTGCGTTTGGATTGATGCGGCATCGCATAAAACTCACTCTTTGGCATTTGCCCTGGCCTTAAGATCGTAGGACGGCAACGTTGGCCATTGAGGGATCAGACACAACCGACGCCGTAAGTTTATTGTCTATTGCATCCTTTAATGATGATGATGAATTCTTTGTTGTAACGCATTTATAAAGCGGATGATTTTGCCATGATATTTACATTGCGTTGAAGGGTAATTTGGGATAGATAAAATTTTTCATGAACTCCCTCTTTTAAAGGGGTAATAGATTTTTAAGAGCATAATCCAATGCTCCTTGTTGTGAGCCTTTTTTATTCTTCTGCTGTTTCTCTGACCAATTCTTACTTCATGCATATCTTTGACCTTGGTCCTAATGAAGTTAAAAATATGACGAATTAATCGGTGAATATGCCAAAAGAAACCCCAAAATTGTGACAGCAATCCAACCTTTTGGCATTTTATATAAAAAAGGTTAAGCATTAATTATTTTATTTTTTAGTTTCTTTTATTTGTTACTATTTTCGTTGGTTTATTATTGCGGTCATAAGCAGTTGGTTCGGATTTAATGGCGTGGCATCTATCTAATGGCGACATTGCCTTGCTTATGATAACTCTTAACAAAAGTGGGGAAAAAAACAAAGATGATGAACAAAAAAACCTTCTTAAAAATTGATAAGAAATAGTTTTACATGGGGTAAAATTCCGACATTCATCTTCCTATATTTACTCTCAATACCATGATTCACTAAATTGCAGTGATATAGAGATTAATAATCTAAATTACTTCTTAACGATCTCAATACCCAGGATATAAACAGCTGGATTAGTATTAATTGTGGATTAAAAATTAATTACATAAAAAATGTTGATAATAGTGTATTGTAGTGGGTTTTAGTCCCACATTGGTTGTGAGAATACACATCACCCTCCTCTACTTATATAAATATATGTGCACACTCAATATTCAACTCAAGGGAAATTTACCCAAGACACTCTCTCTCTCTCTCTCTCTCTCTCTCTCTCTCTCTCTCTCTCTTACTTTAACATTGTATCAGAGCAAGGGTTATTATTTCCCTAACAATAAAATTTTTTTAACGTTTCTGCATTCTTTTGCCAAATCTTGGCATTGCTGCTTTGCAGCCTCTTAACGCATTTCGCGTTCTCGTTTAATCTTCAGGTTCCATTTTAACCTTCGGGGTTACATTTTAACCTTTGGGTTTCTACATTAATCTTCAGGTACTATTTTAAACATTCGGGTTTCATTCTAACATCCAGGTTCTATTTTAAACCTTTGGGTTCTATTTTAACGGCATTGACATTTTAAGACCATCTATTGGTCTCAAATTTTCAGCATTGTCGTTTTCAAGACCGTCTCTCGGTCTCAAATTAACATTATCGCCGTTTTAAGCTGTCTCCCGGCCTCAAACAAATGGCATTGTCTTTTCGTAGTCAGTAACGACATCACCATTTCAATCCATCGTCTTAACATCCGTCTCAACATTGCTGTTATGGCTCCTTCAGAGAAGATTCTCAAACCACGTTTGCCCCTCAATGATCAAAGTGACTGGGCAAGATGGTCCACCATTGTCACCAATGCCTTGTGTGATGCTAGTTTGCTTGATCATCTCATTAGTACGGGACCGATTCTACCGTCCATCAGCACTATTGCTTCATCCAGTACTATTGTATCTAGCAGTGGTGATGTCGATCTTCAAACCGCTCGTGCTCTCTATGTCAAGGAGAGTTCAGACTAGCAGTTATAAGAATTTCGTGTCATAGATTATCTCACTCGCTGTGTTAGCTCTGGTCTCACTGTCGAGATTGGTTCGCTTCCCTCTGCTCAAGCCACGTGGACTCGCCTCACTGAGCGTTTCACTGAGTGCTTTGGTGCACGGGAGGCATATCTTCTGCAATACATTGCTCTATAATGCAAAGGTAGTTCCTCTCTGCAGTCTTATTTTGGATAAATGCAAGCTTTTTGGGCAGAATTATGCTCTATGTTTCCTGGACATAATTCCACATATGAAGACTGGCTAGCCTGGTACGAACGATATGAGGTGCATCAACTATTTCAACCCCTTCCTAAATATTCAACTATGGTTGATCAATTACTTCATCAGCCTTAATTTCTGACTTTGGCCTCAGTTATGGGAGCTCTCACTGCTTATGAGACCCGACAATAGACAACGCAACTCAATTTATCAACAAACATTCCTACCTTTTCACTCGAGATTGTTTTGTCTGTACCTGTCACTGCTCCTGTTATGAGTCATACTTCTCCACAGGCTCCCTCTCCACAGGCTCAATCTAAGCTCTCTTGCAAACATTGCAAGAAGGAAGGACACCTCATTGAGACATGCTTCAAGATTCATCCTGAGTTACGTTCCTCAGGTACTAGTCGTGGTCAACGGTCCCCTCAGTCTCAACCCTCTCGTACACCAGGATTGCTGACCAATACTATAGCTTCTACTACTTCAGACTCTACTATTTAAGCTATTGAAAGTCTTCGTCGTCAACTTGATGCTTTTTAGCATATCACCTCTACATCCACCGCATAACTCTCTGGTATGCATTTTGCTGGTTCTTCAACTAATCCTTCGGTCTCTAGTATGAATGATCTCTGGATTTTTGACTCTGACTGTTCCTTTCATATGACTTGTAATACCTCACTTTTATCATCTGTCTTCACTTTATCTTCTCTTCCTTCTATCTACACAACCACTGGACAACCACTGTCCATCACTCAGTATGGCTCTATTACCCCCACAAAATGATCCATCTGGACATCTAACACTTGGTCCTGTTTATGTGGCTTCTCAGCTGTGCTTGAATTTAATTTCTATTAGCTCTTTTTGTATGAATAGCATGCTTGTCTCATTTTCTTCTGATACTTGTATTGTGTAGGATCCACGGACGGGCAAGACGGTTGGGGCGGGTCGTAGGAGGTACAAGCTGTATTTTCTGAAATATCTTCACATTCTAGAGTTCATTCGCCTACGTTCTCTTGTTGCTTCTGTTTGTTCATCAAAACCCTCTACCTCGCTTCCTGCTAATTTGTGGCATAGACGACTTGGTCATGTGTCTAATAAAAGACTGAAGAGTCTTATTCAGTCTGGAGTACTTGATCATGTATCATCTAGTTCTAGTATTGAGTCATGTACTGGTTACAAATTACCTAAATTCATTGCTTTACCATTTAAAATAAGTACATCCGTATCCACTTCCTTATTTGATTTAGTACATTTTGATATTTGGGGGCCAGCTCCTTTGTTTTCCTCATCTTGCTACTTATATTATGTTAGTTTTATCAATGATTTCTCTTGTTTTACATGGATTTACCTACTTACGAATCATTTTGATGTACTTACTGCTATGATTTTTACTCAATGACAATCTCGTATTAAAGTTTTCCGTTCTGATTGTGCCAAATAGTACATATCCTCTACCATACACTCTATCATGTCCTCTCATGTGACTATCTTTTAACAGTCATTTCTCTACACTCATGAGCAAAATGGTGTTGCTGAATGCAAACATCGTCGTATCCTCGATACCGCTCGATTCATGCTTATTTCTTACTATGTTCCTCGTAGTTTCTGGGCTAAGGACATTCTCATCGCGACTCATACCATTAATATCACTCCATCTAGCTCTCTTTCTGGTGCTACTCCTTATAGTCGTGTTTATACTCATCTCCCTGTTATGATCTAGTCTGTATTTTTGGTTGTCGATGTTTTGTTCTTCTGCTATCTCACGAACGTGATAAATTATCTCTCAGAGTTGTTTCTTTTGTCTATTTAGGAATTATTTCGGAACATTGAGGTTATCGTTGTTATGATCCCGTAACTCCTCGAGTTTATATATCTCGTCATGTTCAGTTCGAAGAGGATTCTCTATATTATTCTGTTTCTGATGACTTTAATTTCCTCCACTCTACTGATCATGCTTCCCCGTCAGTTGCATCACCCACTTCTTCACCTCACTTTTCTTTTCGAGATCTCCCTAACATCTCTCCATCTCCTTCTGTTGACTCTTCCCCACCCGAGCATTCTCTTACACCATCTGATCCCTATCCCGTGGACACAACTCTCACTCCAGAACATACTGTTGATCTTCACACACCTGCGCCAACATCTCCCTCATCTGAGGTTCCTCTTGCTCTTCATCGAGGCAAACGCCCACATATTATGCATGCCCGGTATGCTTCGATTAATTCTTATTCACCTATCTTTCATAACTTTCTTACTTTCATTTATACTACCATTAAGCCAAAGTCTTTTCAAGAGGTAGTTTAAATTTCAGAGTGGCAACAGGCTATGGCTGAGGAATTTTAAACCTTTCAACAAACTCATACCCGGGATGTTGTTCCATGTCCTCCTGAGATCTCTCTTGTTAGCAGTAAATGGGTTTATAAGGTAAAGTTTCATCCTGATGACACCATTGAATGTCGAAAAGCTCGTTTAGTGACTCGAGGTTTTACTCAGCAATAAGGTATTGATTATGAGGAGACATTTAATCCTGTTATTCAGATGCCCACCTTTCGTACTTTACTTGTGGTTGTTGCTGCTGCTGTTCATCGTTGGTCTTTATACCAGATGGATGTTAAAAATACTTTTCTTCATGGATCTTTAGCTTAGACAGTATATATGCAACCGCCTCCAGGATCTAATATTCCTCCAGGACATGTATGACTCCTTCGCCGTGCTATTTATGGTTTCAAGCAGGCACCCCACGCTTGGTTTGAGTATTTTCGCGATGTCATACTCAAGACGTGCTTTATGGAAAGTCATTAAGATGCTTCTCTATTTGTTCGTACTACATCGCGTGGCAGAGTTTTATTACTCATCTCAATAGATGATATGATCATTACAGGTGATGATGTAGCTGGTATATAGTGCACAAAATTTTAGTTGCAACAACAGTTCCACATGAAGGATCTTGGATCTTTTCGGTATTTTCTTGGTCTAAAATTTTCCCAAGACCCGCGGGGTGTACTACTGTCTCAACAGAAGTATCTCTCGGATAATCTAGATCGAGCTGAGCTAACTGACGATGTAACTATCGATACTCTACTCCAACAAAATATCAAACTTTGCTCTACTGATGATGAACCTCTATCTGATCCTACCCGATATCGACATCTTGTTGGCCAGTTGATCTATCTGTGCATCTCTCGACAAATATCTCTCATATTGTTGGCATTGTCAGTCAATTTGTTAGTGGCCCACATTCTGTTCACTATGTTGTCTTAATACAGATTCTTCGGTATCTCCGGGGTACTAGCACTCGCTCTCTTCTGTTTTCTGTTGCATCCAAATTAGCTCTTTGTGCATATTCTAATGCTGATTGGGCTGGTGATCCTACTACCAGGAAGTCTGCCACAAGTTATTGTATATTTCTTGGTGATTTCCTTATTTCTTGGCGGAGTAAGAAACAAGATGTTATTGCTCTTTCCAGTACCGATGTAAAGTATCGTGCAATGTCCACAACATCTATAGATTATTAATCTTCGTCGCCTTCTCAGTGATTTCGATATTTATGTTACAACTCCTACTCCTCTCTACTGTGATAATAAGAGTGTCATCCAGATTGCTAATAAACCAGTATTTCATGAGAGGACCAAACATATTGAGATCGATGCTCATTTTATCTGTCAATAAGTTATCAATGACAAGACAATTCTACTTCCTCATGTCTCATCCGCTGACGAGCTTGCAGATTTTTTTCACAAAGGCCTTACCTGTTCATTGGTTCCAGTTTTTTGTACGCAAACTCACTTTGTTTGATCCGAAATGAGTTTGGAGGGAGGGGGGGAGGAGGCCGTTGATAATAGTGTATTGTAGTGGGTTTTAGTCCCACATTGGTTGTGAGAACACACATCTCCCTCCTCTACTTGTATAAATATATGTGCACACTCAATATTCAACTCAAGGGAAATTTACCCAAGACTCTCTCTCTCTTCCTCTACTTGTATAAATATATGTGCACACTTAATATTCAACTCAAGGGAAATTTACCCAAGACACTCTCTCTCTCTCTCTTAATTTAACAAAGAATTAAGACAAAACTATAAGTGGGAGGATTCTTCGCAACATGCAAATGTCTCAAAAATGTGACTAGATACTCTTTCCTACTGACTTCATCTAATTTTTATTATTAGTGTAGGCATCTGTCCTTGTCTCATTCAAATCAAATCATACAAACGCATCACATTGCCCACCTCCCTTAAGCTACAAAATACAGATGAAGGATCCAACTAACATCACCAATCTTCATTCATTTACACATTTATGGAGAAAATGGACACGAAGAATGCAGAGAAAGGAGAAGAAGAGGAAGAGCATCATAATATGTCAATATGGGATTGTGGGAGTCCTCTATATGATTCCTTTGAACTTGCATCACTTTGTCATCACCTCGATCGCCATTTGATGATTCTGCCCTTCACTGTTGCCAAGGATTCCGATGAGTTCAGTGGGAAGACGAAGATAGTGGTTTCGTCGTCAGGAGGAGGAAGAGGTAAGAAAGAGGTGATAGAGAAGAAGAGCAAGGTTGGATTGAAAGAGATATATAGAGCAATTATTGCATTCTTGAGAAAATATAAATAGTTTCGTATCTTTTTATTTTTCTTCATAATTCCCTTCCAAATTCTTCTATTAAGTTATTTATGTTGATGTAATTATCTTGGTGTTGGTGTCCTATTGTTAGTAATTCAGCAAGCCAATATATTTCTTATATTTTTATAGATTTAGTTGCAGGAATGAAGTTTCATAATTTAAGAAGGAGGGATAACTGGTGGAAATTTGTACTACTAAGCATCTAAATCATTCTATGTTATATTCGAAAAATTTAAACAAAGAAATTGATGTAGATCATAGTTAAGCGAACATCATTATACAAGTATCAAATCTGCGAAGGCAAGGATTTCTTTGGAGTCATGATACCACTGTATTTTTTTTTTAAATTCCCACTTGTCACAATGATACAATTATCTGTTACATTTGTCGTCTGTAGTAAATATTGTCAAAATTGTACGATTATTTGGATTCTCTTACTGCAGAGGGGTTTCCTTGATAATTGATCAATGATGGCATCTGCACTTTTTCAGGACAATAATGGCTCATTGAATCTAAAATTTCCTTTGCTTTCAACAGATAGGTACATATATAAGCAGAAGATTAGATCCACAATTTTCTTTTTGCATACTCTTACAACAACAATATGCCACAATACAGATATCGACATAAGACCCTTACTGAGATCAAGCCCCAAAAAACTTCTGATTTCTAATTTCAATCATAACTGAAAGTCCTGGGAAAAAAAGTACCACTATCCTTTAACCATATGCGGTGCTAAAGTAGCTCCTGACAACATTTCTGCACAAAATCTTCAATAACTTGTCATTCGAGGAGCCTACACAACGAGGCATCTTGAACTGGCTCATCGTAGTCCCAATATCAGCATAGTACTCCAGAATCTTATGGAAGGTTCCCCTGCAAACCACCCGTAACTCAAGAGGCCCTACTATATTATTCCTCCTTGACAACACATAGGCTCTTTCCACAAATGCAAGGTCCAAACAACTGCTGCAACTATTCAAAACATCCTCACTAGCATCACTGCTCAACTCCAAGAAGATGACATAGTGACCAGGGTCAGAGGATGAGTCAGCATGGGTTGTGAAATCAACTATCTCAAGCTTGTGTAGAGCTAAGAGACGGGAGGCCTCATTTATTGCCATTTGTATGTCATTCTCTGTGTTTTTGTCAATGTTGATGCTTAGAAGATTGTTTCTTCTGCATATAAACTGTAGCTCGGGTGTTGAGTTGTGGAAACTCACAACCTTGACGATATCGCCCAGTTTGTATCGATATAAACCTGCAGTTTGAAGGGAAGATGATGCTGAGCTGTGACATAAATAATTTTCAAAGTTGATTTATTCTATTACTCAATATATTTCGGACTTCACCTAATTGGAAATTGTCTACAAGAGCTCATCATGGAAACGAAGTAGAAATCATCAAAAAAAGTGTAAAACCTTGATTTAAGGTGGATCATTCAGCTCATTTCACTTTTATCAGTCATAATGAAATATAAAGCATATACAAGATTTAACAAAATTCCTACATAATCATTTACTTGAAAGTTAGACACCAGAAAATTGACTTCACCTGCAAAATTGGTGATGATAACTTCATACAAACAACCAATCTCAACTTCTGTCAGCCCAACAGGGTCCAGTTCTCTATGAAATTTAGAGTCGACATTATCCAATTCCTGCTCATTGCGATTCTCCCTACGAGGAAGGAATTCAAAATAACTGATATTAGGAAAAACCGCATAGGCCACAGACTCCAGTTTTAATCTTGGATTCACATTAGCACCAATCCATCCTTCCGAAGCCCCATAATAAGCACTCAGCACTGGCAGACTTCCAGCATAACGTTGCAATTTCCTTGCGTAAGGCTCCATTGATCCCGTCATAATTCCATACACATACTTTGCATTAGGCCAGAGCTCTGGAATCATATTGCACCAATTGCTTAAACTCATGCATTTCCTATATATTGTATCAGCCAAATTTCGATTAGGAGTCAAAATTTTAGAAACAGCTTCTCTGAGTGAAGGAATTGTAATTTTATTTGAGAGAATCCCTTCTCTGATATCGGCACAGATTTCTTCCCAAACCTGTTCAAATGTTCTCAATGCATGAACAATGCTGAAGGCAAATGCAGAAGAAATTATCTGCACCTCTTGGGAGTAAATTAACCCGCACAAGAGATGACAGTACACTGACTGGTTGTAGTCTACACAGAAAATGACTTCGTCTGGGCTACAGCATTGAGAATGGATGTCCTGCATTGTGTTCTTGAACTGTCGGCTTCGGTATATGTTAGTTGTGCCTGTCGTTGCAATTAGACCCCCTTTAGTTATGGATTGTTTGCTTGCGTATATGAATTGTAGAGCTTTTCCATCATTCACGGGGTATTCTCTGTGGAATTGATCTTAGTTGAGTTCATCAGAAATATACTGACATGCAATTTTTATCTGGAACTTTAAGCTGGTAGGTAATAGCATATGCTTCACAATGAATATCAAGCCAAGAGAGTTAGAAGAGTATTCTTAAAGGTGCAGTAGCATAAATTCTTATGAACATTAATTTCATAATATGTTTTTTCCTCAGAAATGATTTCATAATGAATTTACCTATTTATGAAAGCAAACGATGTGCGATAGATCTGCATCGTGGACCGCAACATTTCCTCGTTGAAGGGAATAAGCTTCGATTTTCCATGTGTCGTACCAGAACTACAGCAAATATGCAAGCTTTCAAAACTTATGAGAGGCCAATAAAAGTTAGATTTAATAAAAATATTGAAGATAAATTTTAGTACCTCAAGGACAATGCTGTAACCGGCCTCCCTGTTAGAATTGGTGAATCATCACCGTCCACGATTCTCTGTAAATAAGGTTCCAGATCCTCATGAGTGACAAGAGGAATACAGGCTTTAAAGCTTTCAGGATCAGTTCTCCCTCTGAGGCCTGAAGCCTGTAGGTATTCTGCTTGGCCATTTTGTTCGAGAATCTTTTGAAGTGTTTCTCTCTGAACAATGTCAGCATTGGTAGTCATTGTCTCAAATTCTTCTATCTCTAGCTCCACAGATTTTGAATTCATTCTGGGGTTGCAAATAACTGTTCAGCTGATACTACAGCAACTGAGCCTAAAAATAATTGAAAATTCATAAGCAAAGTAGTTATTAAGTGGCTCATGGTGTAGTCTTAAAGGGAAATTTGAATAAAGGGTTGATCATGGTTCTCAAAAGCAATGTTTGAAAAAGCTTTTTTGAAACTCGCTTCACAACTTTTTGAAGGGCCAATATTTCAAAACTCAAGAGTGAAGCCATTTATCCCTTGAAGCTTATGTCTCACCGCTTAAAGCATAACGAAGTGCGTGTTTTGCGCTTCATAAAGAGCTTTTCTTTTGAAGCGCACACTTTAGACAAGATAGGAGGATATAAAAGGATTTTTGACTAACATTAAAACGCCCTCATGTATTATCAACATGAACATGTGAGTGTAAATAAAATATATATGTTATGCATGCAGCTTAGTTCATTATGATTCATTTCTATACTTCACACATTTAATTCTTATTTACGAATCAGAAGAAGAATGTATATATTTGTAAATTATTACAACACTATATATTATATGTTCATATTTTTACAAATTTAAAATTAAAATACTTAAACTCATGAAGCATACGCCTCACGCTTTAAAGCTTACACCTCGCTTCATCAAAGGGTCTAGCGCTACACCTCGCACTTCTGCTTTTTGAAGCATTGCTCAAAAGGGCACAACATAGTAAGAGGGAAATACTTCTGCTGGTTGAGGGTAAACAAACATAGTTTAATGTTTTTGAGATGAAGAAATAGTCCAATTAATGTCATAGGACTGAAACCCGGCCCATATATTCATCAACTACATGTTATACAAGAGGATATTGTGTGTATGTGTGTGTGTATCTGCGCTAGGTATCTGGACTAGAAATTTAACTTAAAATATTGCAGTATGAATCAAAGAGGACTAACAAATATATGGTACGTACAAATAACTTAATCATAAACATGATTCCACAATGCATTTAATCTCAATCAAGACACTATCAACCATATAGAAAACTATTTCCAGAAAGTTATTATCTAAATGAAAATAATACCAAATTGAGACCATACTTCAAAGTTCAGAAACTAAATTTTTTTCTTTCTTCAAGTAGGCAAGCAATAGAGGTTCATTTAGTGGGGACTAAAAAGCTTCTGAACGCACCTTGCTATTAGAAGATTGGAGTGCTTTGCCTCTGAAGCACTCCTGGTGCTTATATAACTATAACTGACCAATCAAAACGAGCACAAAACATAGTGTGATTGTTTTGAATTAATAATGTGGGAAAGTCCAGGGTAGGCTCACTAAGCACTGAAATTCCTTGTACAATGCATGCTTGGATTCTCTAAAAAAAGTGGTGCCTCCACCTCTACTGATTCTTCTTCATCTTTAACCTCCAACAAAACCCGCAAGCATTGGCAGTTTAGGCTCGTATTCCCATGCCTGTCAACTTCAATATGGACCTCGAGGGGTAAGAAAAAAAAACCCAGCAATGGAGGGTCCTACCCTGGTGCATACTGACCTGCCTCACAAAGTAACATATGGAGTTGTATATAGAATCTGAACCTAACCCATTTTCTTTTATTCCCAACACGATCTCTTTCTCGTTTCCTTATGCTCATCAATATCATAATCACCACCTTTTATTTCAGCACACCACCACTATATTTTTCTTCCAACATAACATAGAAGGGGTTTTATTTAAGGGCTTTTGAAGAAGAAATATAGTTAAGGGATATTTTTGCTTAAAAAGAAGATGAGATAATTTGAAAGTAATTAGATAATTGACAGAAAAGAATTCAAGGCAGTAGTGTTAGTGGCATAGGCGAGCTCACCCTCTAAAAACTAGTTGTTTGAGGGATGGAATCCAAATCTCTGGTAAACCCGTTGACTCCCCAAGTAGTAATTAAATGTGAAACTAAATGCACTCAAATATACTACGGAACTTATGCAGTCTTGACGCTCACACCGACTGGATTTGCAGTAGTGTAGTCCTGACCAAACACTGCAAACCCGATGACACCCCTCCGGCATTGCACCAGACTAGTCCTAGACGAAGACAGCAATGTCTCATCAGCATTTAAGTTGCTCATTCTCAACTAAAAAACTAGCATTTGCTACGATACAATGTGTTAGAGACCTAGAAAATGGCGCTCCAAAAAGCTAGTTATTAGAGGGGAAAATTTCAAACCTCTAAATAAACCGATGTCTACTCATTTAGTCAATGTAGAAGTAAATGAACCCCGATGTTTGAGGAAGTCATGGGATCTAGCATGACAAAGTACTTAGACCTACACCTGTAAAGAGTTTTAAGTACATAAAAGTTATAGGATATTCCGCAAAATGAACAATAAGATATGAGGATTTTCCTTAATTGGAGAAAGGAGTACCTTAAAATCTCTCCACGATGGAAAATGGATCCTTGATTGTTAGCAGCCTCAACGATCCTCGAACCATGAACATTAATTTTGCATAACGAACTCGAAATAGTACGCACATTGTACCTTTTTTTATTGATAATTCCCTTTCTTTAACCAATTCCACTTGGTGATATTTGAACCAATCCCGTCTTATTTGTAAGCATTCTCGTCTTGCAACCTTGGATAGTTAGACTTGGTTGAGGCATTTCCACAAACAGCTGGTGTCCTGTACGGCTTTTTTTGTTGCTTGAAGTGAAGGCCGGAACAGTGCAAGCTTGTCATTTCTTGCGAGATGATGACGACTTGTCATAGGTTGGCACATGATTAATTGTCACGTACTTGGAACTTTTGAGCAAGAAGATGAGCTAGCAAAATGGGGTGTCTTATCTCTAAGTTCTATTCATCTGAACTTGATCTGTTTGGTCCTTAATTGTATATATACATTAAATTTGAATTTTTTTTAATTATAAGTAACATTGTAAATGTTATTAAAAAATTCCAAAAAATTACTAAGTATCTGAAAATAAGAGAGAGGGGAGAGGGCGTGAGGATAATTTTTTTTTGTTATATATGAAGGATTGGCAGAAATAAAGACAAATGATATCCACTGGAATAGCATAACATACTATGACATAAATGTGAAAAACAAACTTGAAATTTTTGTCTCTTGGGTAAAATTTTATTTTACAAGAAATATTTTATTTAACCTTTCTAATGCTAAATCTATATTCCAATATTTTACACATATAATCACCCTTAGTTGTAAAATTCAATTCATTATCTTAAAGTATAAAATAAATTGAATTGTCTTTTTTAGATTTTAATAAGACAAAATAAAGATGTGTCTTTTGGTTAGGGGTGGTAAACGATCGAATCGAATCGAATACTAAGGTATTCGTATTTGTATTTGTTTAACATTATCCAATTCGAATGCGGACTCTAATATTCATATATCTAGTTTTTCGAATTCGAACTCGAATACTTGGTATTTGATAAATATTCATGAATATTCACAAATACTTATTGTATATTAGAGTATATTTATTCTGCTAAAAATTTTTATTTTCAAATAATATTAAAATTCATAAATAAAATGTATTCCGTTTTAATATATGATGTATATATATTTAAATTAAAATTTTAATTAGAAAATAGATTTAAAATTATTTAAGACTTAAAATCAGTATATAAAAGTTAAGTAGAAATGGTAAGTGAATTAAAAATATGACATCATATGTGCAATAATACAAATAATAAGCTGTGATTAAATTTTAAACGAATATTTAATAGACAAACGAATCGAATATACATACGGTTAAATTCTATTCGTTAGTAAACTCGAATACTAAAAAATATTTGTTTAGTGGTAAATGAACTACCTAATCGAATATGATCGAATAGTTATTCGAACAATTATCGAACTATTTGTTAATTATTTGGTTCATTTCCACAATAAGCTAGCAAGATTCATGCAGCTTATTTAATTTAGAGTTAAGTTAACAAATTTCAAGTTGGAGGGGCATATCTATCTATACTACTATAAAAAGAGGATTGTGGTGTTAAAACTATTAATTTTCTTTTTTACCCTCTCAATTTTTCATAAAGTCTAACTATGTCATTGTTTCTAATTAATCTTTCATTAAATAAATATAACCTTTTATTAATTATGTACCTCCTCACCTTTCTATATATTATAAGTATCAATAATTTTTTAACTATTAATTGTTTAAAAATAATATAATAATATAATTTAAAAAATAAGTACACACAATCATAAGTAGTAACCAATTAAATTATTATAATATTTTTTATGAATTATAAATAATAGTATAAATAGAATAATATATTACTAAAGACTATTAAGAATTACACTATAATTCAATGAGCAATAAAATAAATAGAATAAAAAATTATATCATTAATAGCATAATCACATAAAGTATGAATTACATATTTATTTAGTATTATATAATTAAATAAACTAAATAAATAATTTAAAATTATTTTTATAGTATTTTCTCAAAGATTATTACATGATACTCGATAATCTATACTTGGTAATAATTGAAACCTAACTTTTATATAAAAAGTATTTAATATTAATAATAGTACTATTAGTTGTTAATGATAGTATAATAAAAATTTATAAGACATTTATAGTACTAAATTATTTAAGAGCATAATTAAAAAATTAAGTTAGATAAATATTTTATAGTAAGTAGATAGTATAATTATTTTAATAGTATTACTTAAACTAAGAATTATAATATTAAATAAGATAAATTACAATAAACCCTCATGAACGTTTAGCATTTTGCAGTAAATTGACCCTATGAACTTTCAAAATCACGCAAAACTCCTATTAACTTTTGTAGAAAGTCCTCAATATCTTTTAGATAAATTACACCAAACCCCATTAATATCTTTTAAAATGCCTTTTTGAGCCATTTACCAATTCTAATTTATAGGGGTTATGTGCAAATTTCAAAAAGTTATCGGGGCTTTCTTTGAAACAGAAAAGTCATTTGGAGTTTAGTGTGATTTTGAAAATTCATAGGGGCTGAAAAGTTCATAAGGGTTAAGTGTAATTTACCGTATTAAATAATTATAATGAGAGTAACTATTGTAATATGTCATATATATTAAATGTAATTATCTGGGGAACATCAGGAAAAAGCTAGCAAGATTACTGCAGCTTATTTAATTTAGAGTTAAGTTAACAAATTTCAAGTTGGAGGGACATATATATGAGAACTTATAGAATTGACAGTTTTATTTAAGAACAATTTTAGATTTCGATGGCTTATTTAAAAAAATGTTAGCACAGAACGATCATTATAAGAAAAACATTCAACTGCAATAACTACACAATAATAATCCATTCATACATTTCTTTGTTGGCAATATTATGATGCAATTATATTAATTAACATTCAATAAAAAATTTAAAACTTAAAATATGTACGTTCACGTGCAGCGCACGTACAATATACTAGTTATCATAAAAGTGTATTGGATGTTAAAACATTATCTTCCAAAAATGGCATTCAAAATGCATATATGCATTCATAAACACGTACATCCATGTATAAAATGCATACATAAATAATATCCCTTCAAGTTAAACACATACCATAGTATAACTATTCTTTACAATTAAATCAGAAGTAATAATTAAGTTAACTATGTAAAAGTTCAGATTAGTAAGTGTATGATGTTTGCTCTTATATGTTCTCTCTTATGAAAATATTTTTTTCCTCAATTTTAATTTTACTTTTAGGCTTTATCAAAATGAAGCACCAATAAAATTTCAAATAATCCACTGCCGCGGCGACTCTGTCGCTGATCCGGAAAGGGATGAACCAACGGAAGAGTTCAAAAGCGTTGGATATCACATGTAACTTCGTCCAGTTCATGATATAATTTGTCAGTATGACGATTCTGTGCTCTCTATCTTCTCTCTCTTCTCAATTCTCTGTCTCAATAAGAGTGACACTAGGGGCACACCTCTAACCACACCCTCTCTCTCATTTGCTACAGTATACCGGGCCCCACATGTGATTTTAAAATTTTAAAATCTCATGTGGAGCATGGTGCACTGTAGCAAATAAGAGAGAGGGTGTGGTTGGAGTTGTGGTTGGGGGTGTGCCCCTATCATTTTCCCATAACTTAAGACAAGCAATCCCTTCACCAATACGCTTTCACATTTCAAAAAGTACCAACAACATGCTTCAACCCTCAATCCTAGCTAATTCATTACATTTACGAACACAACCATATATAACAACATTAAACAAACACAATTAATTAATACAACGACACCCCTCATCAATATGCGGTACTAAAACAACCCCTGACAACATTACCACACAATATCTCCAACACTTCGCCATTAGACTCTCTCACGCATCTTGGCATCTTAAACTGGCTCACGGTTGCGCCCTTCCCAAAATAATGCTCCATAATCCTCTCAAAAGTTCCTCTTTTGACTACTCTAAGCTCTAACGGCCCGATTCCATGGGCCTTCCTTGAGCCCACGTAGCCCACATCCACAAAAGCCGCGTCCAAACAGTCGCAGCAGTCGTTCAATGTTTCTTGCTCGACATCGCTGCTCAGTTCTAAAAAGATCACGTAGTGCCCAGGCTCTGAAGATAAATCAATGTAGCTTGTGAAATCAACTACTTCGATTTTTTCTGATGATAGGAGTTGGGAGCATTTTTCGACTGCAGCTTGCAGATCTTTTTCGGTGTTTTTGTCGATGTTTATGGTTAACAGTAGGTTTTTTCTGCATACGAACTGGAGCTCTGGTGTCGAGTTGTGGAAACCTGTGACCTTAACGATGTCTCCGAGTTTGTATCGATATAAGCCTGAAATTTGACAGTGTGTGTTATTGGTGCATACATTTTTCCTTGTTCTTTTTTTCTTTTTGAACAAAACATGGTGAAAATTCTAAGAATCGTTATGTAAATTAAGATGAGAAATTACCTGCAGAGCTAGTGATCACAACTTCATACTCCTTCCCAATCTCCACTTCGGTGAGCCCAACAGTCTCCTCGTTTTCTCCAATAACAGGTATGAACTCAAAATAACTGATATTGGGAAACACTGCATAAGCCACCGACTCAATTTCCCTCCTAGGATTAACATTAGCAGCAATCCATCCTTCTGAAGCCCCGTAATATGCACTCAAAAGCGGTAAATTTTTTGCATAATGCCTCAATTTCCTAACATATGGCTCCATTGATCCTGTCATGATCCCGTATACATATTTCGCATTTGGCCACAGCTCAGGAATCAACCCATACCAATTACTTAAACCTGCACATTTTTGCTCAATGGTATCAGCCAATTCAGGATTTGGGTGTAATATTTTCGAAACCGATAGACGAACAGATTGATCAGTGATTTTATCAGACAGAACCCCGTATCTGATATTTTCGCAGAGTTCTTCCCAAATTTGCTCGAAGGTTCGAAATGCGTGCACTATACTGTGAGCAAATGCAGAAGCTATGTATTGTACATCGTTGGAGTAGATAAGACCGCATAACAAGTGACAATATAATGCTTGATCGAAGTCTGGGCTAAAGATAACTTCTTCAGGACTGCAACATTGAGATTGGATTTCTTTCATCGTGCTTTTGAATTGTTTGCTTTTGTATATGTTTGTTGTGCCTGTCGTGGCTATGAGGCCTCCTTTTGTTTTGATTTGTTTGCTGCTGTAGATGAATTGGAGAGCTTTTCCTTCTCCGATTGGGTATTCTCTGCACACGGTTCAGTTTTGGTGAGACTGCAGATTTTGCTAACACTATTAATAAGTTACCAGTTTACAGGTTCAGACTGAATATTCTTTTCATTCCCAACGCTGGAAACGGCATCCTAGAAAAACATTGGAACACCGAATCCATGGTTAAAAAAAAAACTGAAATTATTTTCACGATTCCGTAGTTAAAATCAGAAAAAGTGTTTAGATTATAATTGTCGAAATAAGAAGCAGTAAACATATATATCGCTCTAAGAGAACTTGTTCGGAAACAATTAAGAGAGCTCTTAACAGAACAAAATGAGGAAGGGAAAAAAAGAACCATGTAGCGGACACAAAAGTTCGAGAAAGTCTACAAAAATTGTTGCAGTAGCAATGAACTTCATAACAAAAGTGGGGTTTTTATACCTCACTTTGCCGAAGCTAATGTAACCTGGATTCATCGATTTATTTACCTATTTATGAAAGCAAACGATGTTCGGTAAATCTGCATTGAGGACTGTAACATTTCGTCGTTGAATATCAGAAACTTGGACCTCCCATTAGTAGTACCAGAACTGCACGTAACCAGCACAAATGCTTAATATCACCATTTTCACGCATATACAAAACTAAACAGCAACATAAAACAAATACCTCAATGATAAAGCAGTGACGGGTTTCTCAGTGAGAATCTTTGAAGTATCGCCATCGACAATTCTCTGAAAATAAGGCTCTAAGTCTGCGTGAGTAACGAGAGGGACGCAAGACTTGAAGCTTTCAGGATCAGTTCTTCCGTTTAAATCGAAATTTCTCAAGTACTCAACTTCGCCATTTTGTTCGAGAATTTTTCTCAGTGTTTCTCTCTGAACCTGAGCTGCATTTTTTGTCACTTCCTCGAATTCTTCGACCACTTTGTCGAGGTTGAAGACCCTCGTCTTTCCCATGACTAATTTCTGATCAAGAGAACTTAAAGAAAGAATCCTTTTTCCCCCCTTCTTTTTTTTTTTTTTTTTTTTTTTTTTTTTTTTTTGCCCCTTTTTTTTTTTTTTTTTTTTTTTTTTGAATTTTAGTTGAAGGGATTGGAGGGAGTTGAAGATATATATAGAGCGTTGTAGGAGGCAACAGTATGTTTCGTGTGGAGACATGCCGACTTCAGCTGAGTGACGTGGGTTATAGAACACCATTCACCGTCCGCTTGACCATGACTCGGAACCAAAAGGGAAAACTGGTCGGCCTATGATAAGATGTTAAGGTATCGTTTGGCAAAGGGTTAGGTGAGGGGGTTAACGAGAATTAACCCCTTCTTAACCCGTCAAACAAAAAAAATCTATAAAAAAATTAAAGTGAGTTAACCATCCATAATTTGTCAAATATAAAAAATATAGAAGGGTTAAGTTAACCCCTCTAGAGGGATTAAAATGAGTTAAGCCATCAAAATGAGGGGTTTACTAATACTCCTATTTAGAAGGAGTAAGAGTTAACCCTTCTAATTATAAAAAAAATAGTCAAAATCATTGTTATTCCCAAACACTAAAACTGATCATAATGGCTAAAATAAAACTTATTTAACGGGTTAATAATTTAGTCATTCGAATGGGCTAAGTATATTAATCATTTTCTTTAACCCATCTTCCTTAACCCTTTGCCAAACGGGGCCTAAGAGTATAAAATTATAGCCCTTAGTCATCGATCTCCACAACTTCTTACTTTTAGTTTGGGGACAAATTCCTGGGACGATTTTTAGACCCCTGGATTTTTGACATTATTTTCACCCGAATTTCTACCATTATTTTCACGAAAAATATCCTAAACTTTTGATGAAGTTCCAGAAAACCCTTGTTATTATGTATGGGGGTACGTCGAAAAATATACAAAGATTTTGAAGGCTTTCGTGGTAAACCCTGAAGGTTAGGGACTTCGGGGGTTTACATATATAACATTTATAAAGCCTAGGAGGTTTTATCTCAAATTTATGGGTCAAACTTAGGGGATTGTATGAAATTTTAACCAATTTGATTCTTTCATGGTTACACTAACGCTGTTTTGTTTAAGAGACCATAAAAATCCATAAAATGATCATTTATGACTGAGAATATATAAATTGAGCGTTGCTACAGGGATCTAAAATATGAGACCATTGAAGGGGACATGTGAGATGTGTGAGTGGGACCCAGCCATGTGCGTGAAACAATTCACGCCCACAATTCACGCGGCAGAGCTAAGTCCTGAGTCCAGCGGACAAAAAAAAAAAAGAAAAAAGGATGCGGTTTCGTTTTGTTTCCTGGTCAATCACTGGCCCACCCGTTTGTTCTTTGCATAATATAGACCTGGTTAATTGACCTAGGTTGGCGTGCAATTGAGGGGTGCAAGGTGGCTTGGCTGCGGGAAAAGTGCAAGGCAGTTTTGGTTTTTTGTGCGGCTGCGGAACAAAAGCGAGAAGCAGAGGAAAAGTTTGCAGCGGCGGCTGCAGAAGAAAAACACAGAATTCAAGAGGAGTTTTTTGTGTGCAGGTTTTTGTGCTTTTGTAGAGAGATATTGTGAGGGATCTGAGAGTTTGTTTGAGGGTTTAGGTTGTGAGTAATTGTAAACCCTAGTTGTAATCTCTCCCTCTAATAGTAAATCTCCTCCCTCCTTGCCCCGTGGACGTAGGCAATTTGTCGAACCACGTAAAATTGGTTGTATCGCTTTTGTGTGATTTGTAATAGCTTTTAGGATCCCTCGACAGGTCAGTCCTAGAACTGATGAGAGGAAGAGCTGATATCTCACTTTGTTGAGATATTTGTTTCAGATTCTTATTTTCTTGGTGAGACGGGAATTCTTATTGCGATCTGACTTTCTTGTTGTGCTGCCGAAGTGCTGTCGAAATTTTCGCTGCGCGCAACAAGATGTGCCCCTCCTATTACATAATGAGTTGGCATGACCAGCTCATTATGCAATAGGGAATGGACATCTCACATGCCCCTTCTCTTGATCTCATATTTTGGGTCCTCGAAACATTTTTCATATAAATTCTACACGAGCATCAAGGTAGGACCCCAACCATTTAGTGATGCGTGGTCCATGGATCGACAAAAGTCTGTCCACGTTCATAATAAAGGGCATGTCAAGACGAAAGTATAATAATGCCCAAATTATTCGGCAACTCCGTACGTTTCACGAGTTAGAAAACGATCAGAGCCCACGTGCTAAAATACACGTGTTATTATTCCGCACGTATATGCACCAGAGAAGGAGAGATGCGTATGCATACTGTCGGTGAAAGAAATATTAATGTTTCTCTGGCGATATTATCTAATTAATTTGTAGACTTACAACTAGGACTGCAATTAGGTTTTCCATAATAATTAACAGTGCGAGTAACATTCACTGCAATGGCAATTGTTGTAAAGTTATCAGATGCAGATGCTACAACATTTGATCAAAATTAAAAAAACAATTCGTATGTGTTCTTTCGGAATGTCATGTTTTAGAACTTTTGTTGGGAGTGGATTGTGAGTGGAATTACAATTTATTTCTATTTATTTTTGAAAAGTTACAGCTGCAATTGACGTTCATACACGTATAAATTGTTGCGTGCAAACGATTTTTTTCTTTAATTTCCAATTTGTATCGCAATTACAATTGTACATACTAAAATAAACTGCTATAACTGGTCTAAAATATGTCATTTTCATGCAACTACATCTACTAAAATAGGTTCTATCACATAATCCTCTAGAGCAATGCGTAAGGGATTTTTTCCCTGCATATGGTATCTTTAATCACTTATGTTCTGGTAAAATACCATATTCAACATTAAATTTCCAAATTTATTTACCTACTATAGAAATTGTGAGCTTGCAAGCATAATGCTAGTTGAATCCTCTTCATTTGCCCTTCTTTGATTGTCAATTCAATCTATTTATGGACATCAAATGCGTTCGTCCTTTGTTTTGTCTTTTCTTCTTTTTCCTTCGATTCTTTTCCCATCTCTTGTCAATTTAGGGAAAGGGATCATGCCATCATGGTAAACATTAGTCGTCCACAAAGTTTGCGGTGATGACGAAAGACACCCAAAAATTTTCCTCACCTTATCTCTCTAGCTATAATAGCAATTCATGCCTTTATACTCATTTTCTTGGGGAAAAGAAAAATACTCTAGAGGAACCTTTGGGGGGGGGAGGGGGCTAAGACACAAAATATGCATATGAAGTTTACATTTTTGAGAAGTTTAAATTGCAGATAAGTAACCTCCTCTTCCTCATGAAGTAAGAGGTGCTAAGTGTTAATTGATACATAACAACAATAACCAAGTCTTTATCCCAAATGTTTGGGGTCGGCTACATGAATCCTATTTTTCCATTCTATTCTACTATCGGTCATCTCCTCTGTTAAGTTAGTCTTAATCATATCCTTCTTAATTGCTTCTAATCAAGTCATTCTATGTCTACCTCTAAATCTCCTAGCCTCAATAACTCTAATATTATCGCTTTTCTTAATCGGTGCACTAAGGGGTCTCTGTTGTACATGATTAAATCATCTTAATCTATTCTCTCTTATTTTATCCTCAATAGGTGCAATCTCTAATTTACTACGGATGTATTCATTTCTTATCTCTCTTTTAATGTATACCCACAAGACCGTCGCAACATTCTTATTTCCGCTATACTTATTTTTTGAACATGTTGTTTTTTAATTGCTCAACACTCTGATCCATAAAGCATAGTTGATCTTATAACCGTCCTATAGAATTTTTTCTTTAGTTTTATTGGTATTCCACGATCATATAAAACTACCAAAGCACTCTTCCATTTCAACCATTTTGATTCGATGCACAACATTATCCTCTATCTCACCATCATGCCTAATGATTGATCCTAAATAGCGAAAATGATTAATTTTAGGTATTTTTTGACTATTAATATGTACCATAGACTCTCTTCATTTCCTAATTTTGCTAAAAATGCACTCCATATATTCTGTTTTTGTTCTACTAATTCTAAACTTTTTAGATTCAAGAGTTTGTTTTTATCTTTCTACTTTAGAAATAATGTCTATTATAGTTTTATCAACTAATACTATATTATCAGTAAATAACATACACCATGAGATTTCATCCTAAATGTGCTTAGTAAGTGTTCGCGGGGAAAGTTGGTGTTTTCTTCATTATCGATTCCATTGCACTCAGTTAACAACTTTATGTCCGTTTGTTAAATCGGCGTCGAGCTGTGCTAAGGGACCTATAGGCAATTTTATACGCCTACAGTAAGTTGGTTCACAACTAATGCAAAAGATAAGGACTTAAAGCTCACCCTTGATGTAAACCTATGGTAATAGGAAATGGTTTAGTCTCTCCTTCATTAGTTCTTACTCTAATTGTTACTCTATTATACATATCTTTAATTATATTAATATATATACTAGATACACGTTTCTTTTCTAACACCCACTATATTACTTCTCTAGGCACTCTATCATAAGCTTTTTCTAGATCGATAAAAACCATATGTAGATTCTTTCTCTTCTCTCTATATCTCTCCATCAACTGTCTCAAAATATATATATAGGTTTCATTGTTAACCTCCTAGGCATAAAACTAAATTAATTTTTAGATATATTTATCTCTTTTCTTAGTCTTTGCTCAATTACCCTATCTCAAAGTTTCATAGTATGACTCATGAGTTTTGTACCTCGATAAATAGAACAAATTTGTATATCTCCTTTATTCTTATATATCGATATTAAAGTACTAATTCTCTATTCATCTGGCATTCTTTTCATCTCGATAGTCTTATTAAATAGTTTAGTTAACCATTCTAAATCGATATCTTCAAGATATTTCCAAACTTTAACAGGGATATCGTATGGTCCTACGGCTCTTTCACTTTTCATTTTCTGTAGAGCATGTTTAACCTCGCTAATCCTAATATTTTAACAATATCTATAGTTCCTATCATTCACTATATGGTCAAAGTCTCTATTTTGCTCACTTGTTTGGTTATCATTAAATAATTAATAAAA